CAAGGAGGAGCTGAACGTTCAAGTGGTAAGTAGGAAGAGCCACTTTTGCTCCCGCCTCGGCCAGTCCACACCTGTCATCAGCAGCCAGTCTTGGGAACTTTATTTCAGAGAGGCAGTCACAAGTAAGCATTGCCCAAGACCAAGGAATCCAGAAGCAAACCTCCTTGGGAAAACCGTTAAGGACCCCGTAGCCTTGAGCTGTGAGAAGAGGCTTGGAGAGGTCTAATGATAGCCCAATGCAGCTCACTAAGGATACTTGTCCTGTATACCTGGGAGAGACTGTGTTGCTCCTAAGAGCCAAACTGGACTACTTGCTGACACTGAGACACTGGACAGATACATCCCTGGAACTCTGTTTGTGGCTCAGACTCACACTTAGCAAGGCACTTGCGTGGTGTCTCCCTGTAAGAAACAGAAGCAAATATTCTGTGGTGACACAGTTCAGTGCCCTGAGATATTGCCTGTGTTCTAAGAGTCAATTTAATGGAGAGTACAGGACAGTCACCAACATGCATCCAGGAATATTTATCCCCTGTTACACTATTATGTGTACTAGTTCAGGGGTGGCCTTTGTGACCCATCAAATGCAGTGGAGGTGACATGTGTGTGTCAAAGCTAAAAAGGATACAGAAGTATTTCGGTCCTGTCTGGCCTCTACATCATTCGCCACGATGGGAGTCAACCACCATGTCACAGGCACACTCAACAGCTACAATAGGAGATCCCTATGGAGAAGAACCTGGGCTGCTCACCAACAGCCAGCCCCAAGCTGCCAATCATGTGAGCCAGCCACCTTAGCTGTGGGTCCCAAGCCTCTGAAAAGCTATCAGCTCACTGCAGCTGCACTGGCATCCAAACGTAACCTCATGAGACAATCCAAGCCAGAAATGCCCAGCTGAGTTTCTCCCAAATTCCTGACTGTAAGACCACAAGCAATGGTACATGATGACTGCTGTTTTAAGCCACTAACTATGGGGGAGGCTTGTTATACCACCATAACAACTAAAATATGGAACTGTGCCATCCTGGAAGGGCTGCCTCCAGGGTCCTGCTCTAGGCTCTGGCCCTATGTGTAACTGAAGTTTTCCTGGTCCTGCCTGGCCCACGGTCAGGACAAATCTCTCTCACCCACTAGTCCCGCAGCCGCTCGGACCCAAGTAAACACACAGAGACTTACATTACTTATAAACTGTATGGCCATGGCAGGCTTCTTGCTATCTAGTTTTTATGTCTTAAATTAACCCATTTCTATTAATCTATACCTTGCCATGTGGCTTGTGGCTTACTGGTATCATTATATATTGCTTCTCACAGCGGCGGCTGGCAACATCTCCTGACTCAGCCTTCCACTTCCCAGAATTCTCCTCTCTCTTTGTCCCGCCTATACTTCCTGCCTGGCTACTGGCCAATCAGCACTTTATTTATTAACCAATCAAAGCAACACATTCACAGCATACAGATATCCACAGCTCTTCCCCTTTTCTTTTTTTTTTCAAAAAGGAAGGTTTTAACTTTAACATAGTAAAATTACATATAACAAAACAATTATCAAGCAAGAATTATAGTTATAATATCTAGTCTATTTATAATATCTAGTCTATTTGTATTTGGCAAAATTAAAGAAGATATGCTATCTATCCCATATTTGTGAGTCTAAGGTTTCATATCTAACTTACCTTTTATCATAACTAAGGAAATTATAACTATCTAGTCTTCAACTACATCAAAGACCTCAAAAGGATATAATACTACCTGAGAAATAAGAGAAGGATGCAAACAACTTTTGGGAGTCTTCCAGGGTAGACAGAGACAGCTGGCAGCCTGGACAGTCATCCAAAGTTCTTCTCTGTCCTTCTGGTCCTATACATTTGAGCCATCTTGCACTCTGTTTCACTTGAGATAATGTTGGAAGTATAGTGTAGATGGGATAAGGAGAGAGGAGAATTCTGGGAAGTGGAAGGCTGAGTCAGGAGACGCTGCCAGCTACTGCTGCCATAAGAAGATGTAAAGTACTGTAAGCCACAAGCCACATGGCAACTTATAGATTAATAGAAACGGATTAATTTCAGATGTAAGATCTAGATAGCAAAAAGCCTGAGCCATTAGGCCAAACAGTTTAAATAATATAAGCATCTGTGTGTTTAGTTGAGTCTGAGTGGCTGCAGGAGCCGGGTGGACACAGGAATACTCCAGCTACACCTAGGCTCTATTCCCAGTAGAGCTGAACCTTGGGTGTGGTATGTTGGTGAGTTTATAGAAGTTCTGCGACTGAGAGCAATTGCAATCACACCACACCAAGATTCTGTGGAGAGGTGAGCTGAGTGGATGAGGGTAATCATAACCAACAGCCAAGATGAAATCCCACCCATTCATCATACCAGGACAAGCCACAGGAGAGATGGGGTCACAGCAGTACAGGGGGAAAAGTTGCAGGCTCCGCCTTGGTGAGTCTATCAGAGAGACGCAAAAAAATGTAGGTTGTACAAACTAGAAGCATAGAATTCAGACAAAGGCGGTGTACACACACACACACACACACACACATCAACAGGACTGAATTCCATTTTAAATCACTCCTTCATGGGCAATGCACACTACCTTAACGAAGATTTCTATGAAAGGCTCAAGACCTGTTGGTTGAGACATATGAGAAAGGGAAGAAAGACGCAAGGATGCTCAGTCCCAAAGGAGGAGATGCTGATGGAGACTGCACTGATTAAAACATGGAGGGACCTGCCATGCAGAAGAGGTTCAAGGGGCACTGACAGAGGGTGGAAATGGACCCAGTTTATTCACTACTGATTCCACACAAGACAAGAGCACAGGCTGCTCCATGACCGGAGGGCTTCCTAAATAGTAGAAACCATGAGAAAAATGGGTCATGGCCTCTGAAGGGCAAGCCCATGGGCAAGTCTGAGCACAGTGTGCTGCCCAGCCTGTGGGGGTGTCGTGGAAACAGCTAGCATGCTCTGAGAAGGGGTGCCTTCTGAGTTCTGTCAGAGCCCCTCACCACTCTGAGCATCTCCGTCTATGGTTCCGTGATGGCATGCACTGCTGAGTGATGTCATCACCACACCTCTGCTTCGGCTAGTGTGTGAAATACCTGAGGACTCTTGGGAAAGTGAAGATTCTGAGTCAGAAGCTCTGGAGGGGGCCTGAGAGTCTGTGTTTCTCACAAGCTCCCAGCTGGCACGAGCGTCTGCGGACCACACACTGCAGAGAGAAGTCAGAACTTAACCAGTGACCGCAGGTGGACTCAGGTGGCTTGTCAGAGACAACGAGGGACTGAAGAGTCGTTTGGAAAACTACGAAGTATTCTAGCAGAGAAGAGGTGAACAGACTCAGAAAGACTTCCCGGTGAGTGGGACTCCTGTGTTGGGTGGGACAAGTGTCGATGTGCCACTCAGAGCTTTCTCAAGGTGTGACCTTTGATTCTCGGGATCCATTCTTTCGAGCATCTGACTGAACATTAGCGTGGGCTGTCTGAATCCTCCAGAAGGCAGTGTGGTGTCCTATCCATCTGCCTCCACAGCCCCTTCGTGGCCTGGTTGGCCTTAGAGTCTCAGTGTCTTAGTGTGTACCCGGGAGGCCATGGAGCCACAAAACATCAGCCATGTACAAAATGGCGGCTGTCTTTTCATTAAAACTATTAGATGATCAGTAAACACGTGTTCCCTTCATTCCAAAGATGAATTTTCTAGTGAATGTTTGTCCTTGGCTTGAACTGCTCTTCATCAAGGCACCCCACAATGTATGTCAGGTATGACCCCACTTTGCAGACAAGGAAAGTCTGTTGTCACCCAGAATATGACATGAGAAATGCGTTGGAATTTAAGAGACTGGTATTTCCTCAAAAAGAACATTTTTTAATTATTAATTAATTTATTTTTGTTTGGTTTTGTTTTTCGAGACAGGGCAGCCCTGGCTGTCTGAACTCACAGAGATCCGCCTGCCTCTGCCTCCCAAGTGCTGGGATCAAAGGCGTGTACCACGCTGCCTGGCTTAAGAAGCACTAATTTAAATGTTTAAAAAGGAGATCGATGTTTCTAGAAAGCACTTTTCCCCTGGCCTGGTAACTTATAAAGTTCCCTTCGGTTCCTGTAACAAAGGAAGACACAAATGTCTGAGCGGTGTTGATTCCCTATGTGGCTGTGCCTTAGATGCTCTGGAACTTGCTGGCTGTGACCCAGAGCAGCCAATGTTCAGGTAGAAAAGAAGACAGGCCAAGAACGACCAGCCAACAGAACACCTGAGACGCAGCTCAGCTCTCAGACACTGAAGGTGGGCTGAGCAGCACAGCCCACCCTGGGCTTCACACACACTTACTGGGGAGAAACAGAGAACGCCCTGGGTCAGGGCCAGTCCCAAAGACAGCTGCCCAGTGAGATACCCACACGATTCCAGCCTAGTCACCTTGAAGAAACTGAGGCACACCCCTTCTGACACTGCCATCAAGAAAAAACTCGGACAGTTCTCTCTGTTCTGTGCAGTCTGCGAAGAACCTGCTTCTTGTCCGGTGAGAGATTCGGGAGCTTTCCACCACTCCGCCTGGGGCCACCGTGTTTTAATGAGAAGCTTACCAGCTTCCTCTCAAGGCCATCAGCAGTCCGAATCCCCAACCACCAAAGATGCTGCAGCTTGACCAGCTGCTCCTGTGGCACAGAGGGGTGACCTTGGTTTGAAATTAGCCCCCAACTTGATGAGCAGCTCCACCCCTTTCTGAGCCCCATGGTATGAGCATTGGAAGGTGAGGGGTGGAATTGTAGCTTTTAACTTATTGGGCGATTTAGAGAAATTAATATTACTGTATGTTGCAACTAGCTCATAGAGGGTATTCAAAGACTTAGTTGTTTTTTTTTTTTTTTAATTCTTTTCCCAGGAAACAAATTTATTAAAGAGTGCCGTAGAAGCGGTAGCAAATTCCTGCTTGAGATGTCCTTGGCTTATGCCGAGTTTTGAAGACCCCTAAGCCTTGTGCCTTGTGCCTCTGTGGCTGCTTCGTCTCCCGTCTCCTCTCTCCGCCCTCCTCTGTCGTCTCGGGGTACCCCCCCCAAAAAAAACTTTCCAGTACTGCTCCATGAGGGTCCTTCCAAATCACAGCCCCAGAGTAGGGGGTCCTCCTGCGCAATCCCGCCCCTCTGGGTCTCATTTGCAAATCTCCTCCACCAGACGCCGGGGGGGAACCCTCGGCCTGCCACCCTGGCCTGGCCACGCGAGCCGGGTGCTCCCGGCACTCCGCAGGCGCAGCCCTTCGGGGCCGCCTGGACTGCGGAGCTGCCGACCGCAATGCAGACGCGGGTCCTCCAGCGCTGCCGGCGCAGCTGTCCTCCGCGGGCCCCGGAGCTGCGGGGTCCGTGCTCCTCTCGTGCCCTGCGCTCCGGACGGCTTCCCCAGCTGAGCGCCGTCCCCAGCCCCGGTCCAGCACGCTCTGGACGCCTCTGCCTTCCCCTCCCCCTGCAGACCGGCCCCGGGGGTGGGGTTTCCCTGTGCGCTCGCCCTCTCCCATCCCCACCCCTCATGTGTGCCCACCCCTCCCCCGCCCGCCCCTATGTATGTGTCACCGCGCGCCATTCCCGCCCACCTACCTCCTCGCGGTGCCAGAGGGGGCTCACTGAGCTGAGGACGCGGGCAGCACCGCTCAAGGTCCCTCACTCTCTCTCCGCACCCTTGCCGGCTGGCATCTGACGCAGGTGCCAAGGGGGCTCCGGGCACCTTTCTGTGTCCCTTCCCTCTATCAACCCTGCTCCGCAACCCAGCCAGGTAGCTGCCACTGAGGCCACCGCCCGAGGGGACCTGCGGACAAGACGCCGGCGGGAGGAGGGGTGCGCAGGGCACCCCCCACGCAGAGCATCCCCGCTGCAGCGCAGCAAGACCCGGGGCTCGCAGCCCCCAGGAATCCCTAGCTGCCTCGCCAGCGTTACGGGACTGAAGTTCTTGGAGGAGCAAGTACAACTCTTCAAGGTAAAGAAAGGTCTCCTCTCCAGAGGAGCTCTGTCCCAGGGCATCTGGTAATGCTGCCAGGGCCACGCGCCTATGGGCTGCGGGTGGTGTGCCTCGGTGTCCCTACTGGGTATGTGTGTTGGGGCTCAGGACCTCAGCTGCATGTGCATTGAAGTTGAGTAAACTCAACTGCTTCTCTGAATCAGATTGAATGGGAACACGTGGAGGGCCTCTGGCTCCTAGTACACAGGATTAAGAAAGACCAGAGCGTTTTTTCAAGTTTAAAGTCTGGGGGCGCTAAACTGAAGTGTAGATGGAGAAGCAGTTTTAAAGCCAAGGAAATGTGGGTTCAAATCTCCCCAGTCCCGTTCCTCTTGGCGCTCCATGAGGCTTTTTATCTTCCCTTGGGAAGGCCGAGTGGCCAGGGAATCAACAAAAGTATGTGGACAGCAGGTCAGAGAGGTAGCAGATACCTGAGGAGGGATCAGAGAACTAGTAGGTCCACTCTGCTTGCTTCAGGGGTCCTGCGGCACCCAAAGCGGTAGGGAAAAGCTGGGAAGAGCTTGGCAGAACATGAGACAGGGCTACTGAGCTGCTCTCAGGGCAGACCAGAGCCAAGCTCAGAAATGACTGCCTCTACCAAGATGGCATTTGTCAAGATGGAAAGGGGAGAGGAGACAGACGACTGTCCCAGGGCAGCTTTTCCATTTCTGGGCTTCTCTGCAACCCTTCCAAGTCTGGGGCTGGTGACAGCGTGTCAGTTAGCTGTGGGTGTGGAGGGCTGATTCCTTCAGGAGGAAGGATCTGGCCCAAACTTTTCGGATATGCCTCTCTCCGAAGTCGGGAGCTGAGCCCAGGAGGGGGCACCCACTTGAGTTTCACTCCCAAGCATTTCAGGTCCCAGGTGGCCAGGTGGGTGTGGTGACTTCAGTTCTATGGGGTGGCAGCCAGAAGCAACTGGAGGAAGAACCTATGTGAGTTGTGTTAACACAGTGCCTTTGCCTGTGGATGTTGCACTGGGTTGGTACCTGCAACATTAGACCCTGGAAAACACCCATTTCATTTCTGGGGAAGGGAAGCTAGACCAGCTCAGTGACTTTCTATAGGACATTGATTTAGGGACAAAGACAAGGATTAGGTCTAGATTTGTGAGGCCAAAATCAGTTCCTCAGCCTGACTTAAGGAACCAGAAGTCTCAACTCTTCCTTACCTCTGGGTTACCATGACAAGGATTATCAAGTTGCTTATATATACTGGGCAAGGCTAGTTAGGGGATTCTGAAGATAGGAATGTTGGCCAGCCAGTCATCACCCCAAAGGAGATTCTATTCGCCTAAAGAAAACATAACATAATGAGTAACCCTTCCATCCCCATTTGAAACATTTTAGATAAAGGTATTATCAAAAATGGAAAAATCTCTCTTAGAAATAAATACTAGAATTCCTGAAGTTGTGTTGAATTTAAATATAATCATGTGGTGTTTCTAGTGCCAGGCCTGGTTTATTCATTCATGTGTGCTTTCTCCAGAGTATCACTCAGAGGCCAGGCTCTGTGGTGGTTCAGCAGGCACCCAGTAAACAGCTAAGATGACCCAAGCAAAGGGTCAGTGCCCACCCACCACCCAGAAAGTACTTGAGGAGTGTCTGCTACTATTACTCATTTTAATATGAAGGAATTGTACTTTTCCTAAATTTTTCCATGAAGACCATACTTGATCATCTTCCTACTGGGACTCTTTCTTTGGTATTTAAAAGCCATCATTATCCCTAGGCACTCAGGGTATCCTGAACACCTCCCCTCATCCCCTGGCATTATTCTAACCTGGCATGCAAAGGCGAACCACGTCCCAAACAGCAAGGGGGCTCCAAGAGAGAACTCACCTCCTGAGATGGTAGGGAAGCAGATTAGGGTTCAAATCCCGCCACTTAGTGTTACATGAGTTTGTTAAGGTTCTGAGCCTCCTTGAGGTTCGGTTTCCTGTCTCTAAAAGGGGCAAGAAGTGGGGGCGGGGGGCCTGCAGGAGTGGATTTCTTCAAAGATTAAAGGGCATAATGTGGGTGCCTTTTCAAACCCTCTACAGACATTACAAACCTTAGTTCTCCTTTACTGGGTCGCAAATCATAAGCTCTGGGTAGTGCCAGTTTTGAATACTCTTAGAGACTGCATGTCTCGAGTTTTGGTGTGGATTTTTTTAATGATACCTTTTAGAACTGGATCTTTCCCAGGCCCTGCTGGTTGGACATTTGGGGCGCCTTGGCTGAGCCTGGGGAAGTCCATAGACTTTGGCTTGGAGTGTCATTGTGAGTCCATAATGTCTACAAGATTTATCCAACCTCAAGCTGTAACTGTAACACCAGGTTGGCGAGGGCTTTAATGAAACAGTAGATAATATTATGCCTCCCATATAGTAAGGGCAAATATTATTTCTGGAAACTTTCATTTCTGCTATGTGTTTTGCAGCCCTCTATGAGGGTATGTGTATTCATAATATATATGCAAATAGACATACATTTTATATTTCTACAATGTGTTTCTTGTTGCAAGTTATAGTCCATAAAAATGTGGAAGATATCAGCTGCAGTCCAGTGTGATGGTATACTATAATCTCAGCATTTGGAAGTCTAAAGCCAGCTTTGGCTATATGTATTGGAGGCAAGCCTGAGCTACATTGTGAGATCCTTTGTCAAAAACCAAGGGCTACAAATGTAACTCAAAAACAGAAAGAAAGGAAGGAAGGAAGGAAGGAAGGAAGGAAGGAAGGAAGGAAGGAAGGAAGAGAGAGAGAGAAAGAAAAAAGAAAGAAAGAAAGAAAGAAAGAAAGAAAGAAAGAAAGAAAGAAAGAAAGAAAGAAAGAAAGAAAGAGGCAAGAAGACAAGACACCAAGAGCAAGGGTGTTTCTGTCTGAGAAATTCCTGCCTCGTGACTCCAGGTGGCAGGCACTGGAGTGTCCTTGCTGCAATTGTACCAACACCTAGCCAGACTGGAGGCAGCTAGAGGTAGAACCTGGGGACAGGGAAGAAAGACAAGCTCAATAAAGAGAACTCTCAGTGTCAGAGAGGAACCGAGATATTGGAAGACAGCCCTGAGTACAGATGTATAGGTAAGTGCTGTCTTGAGAAGTGGAGTACGGTATGGAAACACATCATAGCGATGGGAGAGTTTCCTGCTGTCAGGGAATCATGCTCTGGGCTCCCGTGTCCCAGGAATACAGGAGGACAATCAATGCAGAGGTTCCTTTAAGGATGGCACCCCCCCATTCCTGGACACTAACTGACTGGATGCCTGTTAGAAGAATCTGGAGAGAGGTGGGGACAAGCTGGAGAGAGAAATGCAGGCAAGAAGAGGACCGAACCAGAGGGGAAATTGTAGGGAAACCGGTAAAACGGTTCCTTTTTTTCAAAAGTTGAATCCAGGGCAAGAACGGAAATGGTTGAGTTTACTTTGAAAAACTCAGAGCCTCCTTGTATGCAGCTGTGTGTGTGTGTGTGTGTGTGTGTGTGTGTGTGTGTGTGTGTGTGTGTGTCTCGGAGGGCGGGCTGGCTCTGCGGGCTGGCTGGGGTGTGTGAGAGGCAACGTTGCTCCTTCAATGGCCTTACAGTGTATCCTAAAGAAGCTTTTTGTTAAACTCGTGAATAGGTGGATTGGGGGCTGTGAAGCTGGACATCACGAAATGGCTATTTGCTTACCTTTGAGGCTCCCTGTTTTTCCTTTTAAGACATCCAACCAGAAAAAGGAGCCATGTCTCCTCAGGGGAAACTTTGGGAAGAGGGGGCTGCCTGTCTCCATAACTGATTTGACTTGAGGGGCAAGAAGAGGAAAGAGACAGGGCTAGGCAGGTCTGCAGTGCCTAGCCTGGGGAAGCCCATCTTCGGCTTTCTGGTTTCTGACTATTCCCAGACCATGGATGCTCAGGGTCTTCAAAGCCTGTAATGATCCTCATTTAAGAGATTTCCAAAGAGACTTAGGGAGGGGAAGGACTGATGTCGGGTCACCCCAGAACAGACTTGTAAGGATCTGTATAGGAACCCAGAGCATCAGGAACATTGCACATCCACAGCTACCATTCATTCATTACCAGTACTTGCTCCATTTTGGGCTCTGTGTTAGCTGATCCTGGCCCCTCTTCTTCACGGTCTAATGGGAGCAGGAGCTGTTATCCCATTGACCCTGGCACCTCATTTCTATAAAAGAGTGATTCTCGCCGGGCGGTGGTGGCACACACCTTTAATCCCAGCACTCGGGAGGCAGAGCCAGGCGGATCTCTGTGAGTTCAAGGCCAGCCTGGGCTACAGAGTGAGTTCCAGGAAAGGCGCAAAGCTATACAGAGAAACCCTGTCTCGAAAAAACCAAAACCAAAACCAAAAAAAAAAAAAAAAAAAAAAAAGAAGAGTGATTCTCAACTGGGAACTCTTTTTCCCCCTCCCTAACATGCCTGAGGCCATTTTCTGTTGTCACTATTTGAAAGGGGAATGCTACCCACATGCTGTGGAGAAAGGCCAGTGAAATTGACAAGCACTTTCTAATATACAGGATAGCGCGCGCGCACGCGCACACACACACACACACACACACACACACACAGCACAAAATCCAAAATGCCACTAGTACCAAAGATGAGAAAAAAAATGGCTCCAGACCTTCATTCAGTCCCTGGGTCAAGCCACACCCAATAGAGTGAGACAATCAGAAGCTAGAGGGGGAGTCTGGTTAGCAACCAATAGCAAGCAACAAACGGGAAGTGAGGAGAAAGTAGGGCCTCAGCGGCCAAAAGAAAGAACGTGGCCCGTATAAAAGTTGAAATCTTAGCTGGGTGCCTATGCGATGTGCTTACCCCTCTGAGCCTGTTTCTGCATCCATGACATGGACACGGACATTTCTGCGTCTATGAAATGGACATCCAAGATAAAGCAAATACAGACGTTGGCAGAAAGTAGACTTACAATAAAAATGTCAGCTGTTGTTATCTTTGAGGCTGTTCAAGGTCCTGCTATGGAAAGTTACAGCATCAGCAGGTGAGGATA